ATATCTTGTAGGCGTAATTATTACATGGTTACTTTTTGGAAAACAAGAAGCTTCGAATTTCTTCAGTTTTTGAACACGTCTCAAAATTTGTAAACAAAATGTAACGTTTTTATTCCGTTGCCACTTTATGCTGAATACATTGAAATATATAAAAAAAAATATAGGAGCATGAAAAATCAAGAAAATCTTGTTTACTTATTTTGGCCAGGTTTTTGTTCCAGTTACTCCTCTGTGCGGTCTAGCGATTTGTCGGGTTGGAGAACGCTGAAGCTTGACACCGTTGACGCTAATTTCAAAGAGTTTAGCGACAGTCCAGGCGTGGACCTGCCCTCATGGCAGTAACAGCGTTTTAGTAACAGCACTGATACTTGTCGTGGACATATTTTTAACTCTTCATTTGTTCCAAATTCAAAATAAATTACATTTCATTTTAACCTAGATGCTCCAGTTTCAACAGTAGCTTATCAGCCTTAATTTTTATGATTTATATATCTAAGTGTTTTTACATTGTTCCTGCCTAGGTAATTCAGTATTTTAAACAGGTTTTCTATACCTGCATGTCAGTATAAAAATTGACATCTTAAAACTAAAAACTAATACTAAATCTTATTTAAGTATAAAGGGAATTAATCGTTGCAATTAAAGATTTTTGCCTGAAATTATTGCCTGGTAGTGCAACAACCCTAGTAACACGCTTATCACAAATCGGTTGTTGAAACTCTTAAACGACTTATTTCAGTCATAATTAGGTTGCTGCAACTTTTCACGACAGAAGTGTGCTACTCGGGAACTAGACCATATTAGCCAGCGTAAAGCATGGCCAGTTTAAAAAGTTGTTTAAATATTAGAAGTTTATTCGTCAGGCAAATTTTGGATTTCCTGTTTATAAGAGGATAAAAACATTTTATGTATTTGTTACATTTGGCTTGAATGCCCTCAATGTGATCTTTAAAAGTTAATTTTGCTTCAAGATATTTCACTTGGTTTGACCAGGAAATTGGAACTCCGTTAATAGTGACTATGTGACTACTACTAGGTTTCAAAAAGGAAGCTCTAGGCTTATGTTGAGTCTTGGAAGCGTTGGGAGAAATATGCCATTTTTGAAAATAAGAAGAGAAAATATCTAAACTTTTCTGCAGTCTGCTGCAAATAACACGAAGACTTCTTCCTTTAGCGGAAATGCCTGTGTCATCAGCGAACAAAGGTTTGTGGCAACCCTGAGGCAAATCAGGGAGGTCCGAAGTGAAAATGTTATACAATATAGGCCCAAGAATGCTACCCTGAGGAACTCCTGCTCTAACAGGTAGTCGATTAGATTTGGAATTTTGATTATTTACCTGCAGAGTTCTGTCCGTTAAATAATTTTGAACTAATCTCATAATATTGAGTCAAAAATTAAACTTTTTCAATTTAGCAATCAAACCTTCATGCCAAACACTGTCGAATGCTTTTTTTATGTCTAGAAGAGCAACTCCAGTTGAGCAGCCTTCAGATTTGTTTGAATGAATTAAATTGGTAACTCTTAAGAGTTGATGAGTAGTTGAATGCCCATGACGAAATCCAAACTGCTCATCTGCAAAAATTGAGTTCGTATTGATGTGAAGCATCATTCTATTTAAAAATATCCTTTCAAAAAGTTTACTTATTGAAGAAAGCAAACTTATTGGACGGCAACTAGAAGCTTCAGCTGGATTTTTATCCGGGTTCGAAATTGGAACATCGCATTTTTCCATTTATCAGGAAAGTATGCCAAATGAAAACATTTGTTAAATAATTGTTCCAAGAAACCAAGGTACTCTCTGGAAGGTTTTTGATGAGAGTATAAAAAAAATGCATCATCACCTAGAGCTTTCATATTTTGAATTTGTTTTAGTTATAGATCTTAATTCGTGCAAATAAATCCCTCAAGAATTATCGAACTTATTTTCCTCAGTGAATATATTCAGATAATCCCGAGCAACCTGATTCTCAATAGGACTAGTAAAACTGAAATTATGGGAACTCTCGAAATGCGTAGCAAGTTTCTTAGCTTTTTCTGAATTGGTGATCAAAATTTGACCACCTTCTTTAAGCGTTGGAATAGGCTTTTGAGGTTTTCTCAAAATTTTTTGAACTAGGGTCTAATTTAGAAACATTATTTTCAAAGTTTTTTTCCTCAGGGCAGAGACTCGCTTTTCAATTTGTTTTTTTTTTTACAAATCCCGCCAGATCACTTTCATTACAGGATCACGTGTTCTTTGATATTGCCTCCTACAGACATTTTTCAGACGGATCAAGAGCTGAAGATCATCGTCTTTTATAATAGTATCGAATTTTGGTACTGAGGCAGCTCTTGCTTCAACTATAGAAGTAGTCAGAGATTCAAGAGTATAATCAATTTCATCTTTGGTTTGCAAAGGAATGTTTGGATCAAAACTATAATCCATAAATGTTCGATATTGCTCCCAATCAGCTCTTTGGTAATTGAAAGTAGTGCTGTTGGGATTAGAAATTCTTTCTTGGGATATTTCAAAAGTTACTGGAAGGTGATCAGAACCGAAGTCAGCATGGGTCACCAATTGGCTTAAAAATTGTCATGAATCAGTTAAGACCAAATCAATAGTTGAGGGATTTCTAGCTGAAGAAAAGCATGTTGGGCTGTTTGTACATTGAATAGTGTAATAACCTGCAGAACAATCATCAAACAGAATATTACAATTGGAATTGCTTTGAGCATTATTCCATGAGCGGTGTTTTGCATTAAAATCACCAATAATGAAGAATTTAGACCTATGACGAGTAAGATTCTTAAGGTCAGTCACCCTTGAGAAAATTCTTTTGCTGGCCTACGTATTGGAATGGCAAATAGGCAGCTATAAAAGTAAGTTGTCCAAATTTTGTTAGCCGGCGCCGGTGGTGTAGTGGTAAGCGTGACTGCTTTTCTCACTCCAACGGGTCTGGGTTCAATCCCAGCCGAGGTCGGTGAGATTTTTCTGAGGCATAAAAATCTCTGGTCACGTCTTCCTTCGGAAGGGAAGTAAAGCCGTTGGTCCCGGCCCATGTGTGTTGAATGGGTGCGATATCCTACGCAGGTGTGGAACCTGCCTTCCTGCACTCGATTGCCGTCAATGGATGGCAACCGATGTCCGTCGGTGATTGGCACTAGATTGCGGAACAGAGACCGACGTTGAATAAAGGAAAAAAAGACAAATTTTGTTACGACAGAAACTCCAAAAGTTTCAAAAACTTTGGTTTCTAACGAAGAAATAATTTGATGTTTGATACGTCTATGAACAATTATGGCAATGCCACTACAGGCTCCATCAAGACGATCATTTCGATAAATAAAATAATTTGGGCCCCTTTTAATCTTACGATCAGGTTTAAGGAACGTTTCAGTTATAACGGCGATATGCACATTATGAAAGTTCAAAAAGTTAAATAGTTCGTCCTTCTTATCTTTAAGCGATGGAGCATTCCAATTCGAAATATTTAATGATTTAAAATCGATTACTAAATTTCACAATCATGACAATATTGTTCGCAAATTTAACTCCAGTTTGAATAGCAACAAACATGGGGTTAGTTTTTAACATATCAGTAATCATGGCAATTAATGATTTCTGTAAAATTTCCATTTTAGGAGCAGTAATGCTTGCTAAGTCAAAATTATAAATTATTTCCGTTAGAATTTTGATTTCTACCAGCTGCAATAGATTGATAGAATGGGGTGCAGGTATAGATGAAGAATTTGAAGCAGGTGTGATATTTGTACTTTCGGAATGTAGAATTTGTTCCTCACTGACCGTTGTTAACAGCAGAGGAATTTACACCCATTCGGGAACGAGGAGCGTTTCCTACCTACGCTTAGAACGAGATTGTAGGATCGCTTTGCGAGTCTTACATTCCCAAAAGTTTGACACCACAATTTGAACATTTAAATTTATTAGGATCTTCCTTCACAGGACAGTCGTCCTTAGCGTGAGAGGAATCACCACAATTCATGCATTTAGCTGGCATGTAACAATTTTTGTTCCGTGACCCTATCCCTGGCACTTACGGCACTGAGAGAGGTTTTGGAAATTTCCGCCAGTCTTCCTGAAGTGTTCCCACTTTACTCGGACATGGAGCATAAGGCTAGCTTTTTCTAAGGCCTTAAGGTTGTTTAGTTCACTAGACTTGAAGAAGACGTTTGAATCCATCCAAGATTTCAGCCAATACACGGAATTCACCCCGACGGCCAATTTGAAGTGAAAACTTAAAATGAACGAAGTTCAAAAGTTCCTTGCAAATAGCATGGAAATCGGAAGTGGTTACAACAATAGGGGGAACTTTTTCCCTTTTTGACATTAAGCCAGGAATGTTAAGTGGAATTTTTCCTGGATGACGGATCATTCTCATCATCCGTAAGCATATCTAATAGATTGCTCTATTGAATTTTATCAGAAGGGGGATCAAGCGATTGCCCTTTTCGTTTGCGCTTAGGCGCCATGGCGGCTGAACCAAGTTTCTCCAAATCGACTTCCATGCAGATTACTATAAGAATTCGAAGGTTTGCACCGATATAGGTTGAGATAGATAGGTTGAACACTGAAAAGTGCTATTTAAATTTGTTTTAGCTTTAGGTAGTATTAACACTTCCTTCAGCAAAAAGCAAATAGATCCGTACGGCAAGAGAGCACGATGCAGCAACAACGATACTGATTTTTTTTAAATAAGTTTTTCTTCTAGGGACACCGTGCGCCACTTCCAATATGAATTATCATTCGGTGGGTAAATAAAGTCATCGAGCAATTTTTTTTTGCATGAGAATGCATCGAGTTCAGCGCTCAATCACTCCAAACCCAGATATTGGAACTTGTACTGTTGATATTATTTGTTTTCCTTTGCACGAATACAGTCGTTCAAAGGCCATCATAAAAAAGACCATTGTCTCAGTATAATCGAGAGGTCCTCGAGATAAAGTAAATTCTTCTGTACTACGTTGTCATGCACTTGACTACACCGTAACCTTCACTTACCGTTATGCAATATAGTCCAGTAGACGATCGTAATGCAAATCGATAGGATTAGCGTGATGTTGTGTATCATCCAGTAGATCTTGAAGGCACGCGGCATTTCCTCGCAGTTGCAAATTTTATCTGGAAATAGAAAGAATGCGCATTGAGAGCTGGCAATGAATGTAACGAATAGTGCAATTCAAGTGAATTGCGTCTATTAGTCCAACAAACACTTTAACATGGCATGAGTTGTATTGATAGTTTGCTTGACCTTTAGGCAACACGCGACGAGGGTTGAGTTGAGTAGAAAAATCACTATTCTTGGAAATGTTTACTCTTAGAAGACGGTGTTTCCTCGGAATGCTAACTGCAAAGCGGAAATATAGATAAATGCAAAGTTGAGTGGCTTTAGGTTCGTAAAATGTGATAATTTGGATCTGGAGAGACTGCCTTCAAGGACTTCCGCGGCCCCGCACAGACAACAACGGCTAACACGGTTTCGCTTATACAATGCCATTTTCGCGTTCTTTTTACGAGACGCGATTGAAATCTCCACAACATCAAAGAGATCCATTCATTTGCATCTGGAATGGTACGATCCATGGGCTAATGGATGTGGGGACATATTTCCCATGGCATTGCAAGCACCGTCCGGTCAGGTATCGATACATGGGTTTGGCCTTCGGAGATAAATTGCTACAAGATTCGAGAGCAAATCAAACAGCACGAGCTCTACCGTACGTTCGCCCGTTGTCGTTAAAGGCGAGGTCCAACCATGGTGCGTCATTCTGTGCCCCATTGATTACCGCAAGCGCCATCTCTCATTGTTTACGTAAAGATGCCACGACATTGTTCGGTGACCTTTGGCCACTTGATGTCTATTGATTCGCGTAACCCGACTGAAAGCATTCCTCGGTGATCTTTGCTGGGGATAGTGTTTTTATTAAGTATCTACAAGACCTTAGTTGGTGAGATTTATTGGTGCAATATGCTTTGGATGGGGTCACTACTTGGTTTTGCTTGCGACTACGAAGCAACATTTCGTTAAGATTTTTGAAAGTGCTACTCAGATGTGAAATAAAATCCAGATCATCCATCAACTTAGCCTCCGGCAGTTGCGTAATATTTTTCGCGAAACACTGCCCATTTCCCAGGTGCCATAAAATTAGATGCTTCTAGTCTCTTTCGGTGATAATCTCACCATCAGCAACAACCCAAATGATACCGAATTTGCATAGTATAATTTCAGAGTAACGTAGGCTCAAAAGAGACATTCCCACCGTCAGCATCATCACCAGTAGCATCCAATGAAGCGAAAGCAACGAGCCAGTCCCCAAAAACAGAGCTAGAGTGTGTCAACTTCACCGGAATCGTGACACAGATTTGGTCGATAGAAGTGTGGTCGAATTTTTGCAACTTTGGAAATCAAAAGCCCAATCGATGGGGTGCTTGAAAGTGCTATATAATAAAATATTCTAGCACTAATTTGCAAATCTTGTCGTTATTGGTTGACGAGGAAGAGTGGCAGAAAAAAATCAATCCTAAGCTAGGGGAAATAAAAGATGAGCCATATAGAGCACCGAAGGCAGGCCAGTTATCCTTGACCAGGTTTTGAAAATGCCAAATTAGCAGCAACATTGTGTGTCGTCAATTTATGCAAAAATTTCGATATCCTATCCTATCGTGGCCCTGACTGATTGCATAATCTGTCGTGGCTGTGAGGTTAGACTGAATTCCTGCTCCCAATGTGATGTGGAATCAAAAAAGCAAAAAATTGGTGGGGTTGTGTACAAGACACGACCGCAGGGTTGACGTAGACTACGTTAAGCTGCGTTTTTTTTCTAGATATTGATTTAAAATACAGTAGAAGTAACCTATGATTTCGGTCCTATGTACATATTTTGGATTTCCTACTTAGTAAAACTTGGTTAAATTGAGGAACTCATAAAATGCGAATACATATTCTATTTCATTTGGTTCCTAAATTACAATCAGATATGAGTAAGGCTTTCTTCAGGTGATTCATTGAAGCGTCCAACAATGACCGTCATGATGGCTGATATTCCCTATCACTTCAAGATTTCTAGGACATAAATCTTCGGTTGTGACATCACTCATGAAATTGAAAGTCCTTGTGCACTGGACTGCAACAAACGTGAAGTTCCAGTTTCTTTGTTATAAGTTTTGTGAGAGCTGATATCTGTACTGTTGACATTTTTATGTGGTAATGAGATTGATCCTCAGCGATTCAACTTCAAAACGCTAAAAATAAATGCACACACAAAAACGGAGTGCACAATTTTGCATCAATGTTATGCAACATTTCATAGTTGATCGAGATGATATTAATTAGCTATGAATCCCTCCAATAAGTTCTAGGTACATCTTTTATCTACCAATTGAACAAATAAAAAAATACTAAGGCTGTGTTCCATTTGGAAAATTTTCACTTAGATTTGATAATAAATAAAGGACGAAAAAAAAACTTAGATTTGACACTTCGAAAATAAATTAAGATGTTCGAAAATCCCTCTGTTGTAGATCGGCCGATTTTCGAGAAAGCGTCTGTCAAATTGATTCCTTGTCTATCAGAAATAAGTCTGCTAAAATAGCAGGTTTATTTGAAAAATTTTCATCTGTTAAATTTAAGTAAAAATTCACCAAATGGAACACAGCCTTAATAACTTGAGCACAGGATCGTTTCTTGTTGTGTTTGTCGTATTAGATGCTAGATAAAAACTTCTTTTATCGATATGTGTGCTGAAAATACCTGGGCCGAGTGGATTCAAGGTGAAAGTCGACGAAAAGAATCTTATCAGTCTTACTTAGGACCTAATGCAATGTTCAGCTTGAATTGTTTCGCTGAGCTGTAAACAGAAAATCGATGAAGAGAATCGAGCATTACAAGTAGGCGCTCACTGTCGAATTTCAGAACCTAGCACTGAAAATAAACTCGACGGTACCTCTATTTTTACTAAGAGATAAGCATTGCAAGTCCCTCCTCACAGATACGAATTTTGTTCATTTATATCAAAAATATAAATGTTTATACTCTAAACATATTAATTATTCAAAGTAAATTGAAAACATGTTTAAAACGAAAATATTTATGTTTGAATTAAATTCAAAGGCATGTTTATTTCAACAATATCAAAATCCATTGTATTTGACAGCTTTTGTCACCATGTCTGTGTTTGACTGACGATGATCGGTTACTGTACGTGACGAATAAGAATGGAATCATTCTCCAGTGGGACCTGGTCAAGCGGAAATGGTTGGCGGAAACAATAAAGGTGCAGAAGATGGTAGTTATTTCACTAGGCATTTCGCACGATCTTAAGTTTTTGGTAGTGACCGGATTAGATCAAGAGCTAGACGAAGCGACAATGGAGCTGGACGAAGCGACAATGGAGCTGGTGATACTCTGATTGGAAGAATTCCTATCAGTTATATTCCTGTACGAAAGATAGGACTGGCTCCTGGATGAGATGTTCTACGTGGAGACATTATACAGTCATCAAACGCCGGGTACCAGCATTGATGCCATGTCTCGAAAACGTTGCATTGTGGAAGAATCGCATTTGGTTTACAACTGTCTTCCCAGCTTGAGTGTGTCAAGTTGATCGGAAACGAACGTTTTATTTTATCGCGCATTGATGATTTATAATAATAAATAAATATGTTTTTTTTTCTTAACATTAAATACGTTTAAGATAAACTCTAAAATCATGTTTAAAATAAAAATATTTATTTTTGTTTACAAAGCTGTCAAATCAAACAAAAATATTCACGTTTATTTTCAACTTGAATATTTTTAAAATAAACGTATAATGATTTTTATTTTAAACATTGATATCACATGACTTTGAACATAACGTACGTTTGAATCAATCTATTTTATTTTTGTGGCCAGAACAAACTGAATTTACGTTTATTTTTACCTCAAATATTTTTATTTCGATGATACTTTTTTCTGCGTGTACTTGATGAATTATGCAAAAAAACTGGGGTTGTATAAAACGTTCTATAGTATAATTTTCCAAGTAGGAGGGACTTTCATAGCTAATCTAAAAGCATAAATAGAGGTACCGTCTGATAATTCCGGAGTGATTTGAGATTTGGGCGTAATTGTATTTGTAAACGAACACGTCAATTGCCAGTTTCCCTTGAATAAAAGCTCAATCCCATAAGCAAAATATACCAAATGATAGAGGAATCAGTCCTCTACCTCATAGTGTTATAAGTTTAGCAGCACTGTTTTATAACTTTTCTGATTCAAGCAGCACGATGTGCAACCAAATTGTACTTGATTATGAGGACTGGGTTTGGGGAGAACGTTAATTTCATGAAAACAGTGATAAAATTATCACTTTTTATTTGTTCATTTTAAAAAAAGTTTTTTATGAAAAATTGAAAAAAAAGTTTATTGCAACAGCTTACGAAAGGTATTTCCTATCGATTGGTGTATTCGGATTTTAATTTCATCTATAAATGACAAAGCTTATAGCGTTCAAAAAAATTACAGCTTTTCGTGACGGTCGCAATTTTAGATTTTCGATTTACCCCCAGTACCTTCCCGTAAGACGTAGTGTGCATCAAAAACATGTACGGAAGCAGACATAATATGTTAACAGTTGCGGGAAAGCATTGGCGACACTAAACTACCCGGATAAAAAGAACCATAGACATAACAATTTACGCACCATAGATTCTAGTGTACGTTCTATTGAAGTTTTATTGCTTTTGACAAAAAAAGTTGGAAGGGTTGTATACTAGATACGACCGCAGGGTTGGCGTTGGATAACGTCTGTTATGTGTTGTACTTAATTGAGTATATTATATTTTAGGAATATTCCTTAATAACTCTTTTGCGAAAGTTTGGTGGCCCTGAAAAGGGCCGTTTTGTTGGGCTGATGTTGTTGACAATGATGGAACGGGCGACCTGGTTGGACGCTTATATAGTAGAACAGAAAATATCAGAGGTGTCATATACTCCCATCTGATGTCTCGGTTGGAGAAAGTATAAGAATATAAAAAAATCAATCGATTTTCACCATCTTTAGACAATGGTTTACTTTCAACCATTTTCAATAGTTTACAGAATGAAATCAAAAGTTTTGAATCATTCAGCAAATTGCTAG